TCTGCAGTTCGCTGGTTTCCCTTTTTCTTTGCGAGGTGTTGTGTGTGGTTTTAATAAATAGCTTGAAAATAGGGGAGGGGGCAGTCTGACCCATCCGGAGACAGGAATCTATTTTGCTCACTGTTTACTATCAAGAGAGAGCCTTTGGCACTTGAGCAGGACCTCGTAAATTTGCAGCCCAAGTTGAAGTTCATCTGGCCCCGGTCCACACGCTGTTCCTGGAGGTAGCAAACATGAGCTCAAAAGAGTGAGGTGAAATCATATTCTTCTTTATTTCCCGATTTTAATAAAAAGGAAAGATATCTGTCCCCAGGGGAAGAGGAAATGGAGAGAAAACACCAGGAGATGGGCATTTCTCTTGCTAAAATGACTGCAGTTGAGTTCTGGGGCCAAAATAGAAACCTGTACATGGACAACTCACCCCCACCCCCCTGTTTATAAATAGAAGTTTCCAGTATCCTATTTGGAAGAACTTCTTTTCTAATACTTTCAGGCGTTGGGTGATTTTAGGGGTCTGTTTGGTACTGACAATAAGGCTGGATGCTGTTCACGACAAGTCAGTGAGTGGAGGGGAGAGACAGCCAGGGAAAGCGGGTATTCTCTAATTACCCTGTTCCTCTCCTCAGTTCTGAAGGGCTTACAGCAGTATTTTCTTGAAAAGACCAATTTATTCTGGGCTTGGTGGTCAGGAATGGCATCCTAGATTTCTAAGTTGTCGTTTAGTGAGCCCCGAGGAGGAGTTCCAGTTATGGGTTGAGTAAATGCCATGACTAGATGTCAAAATCCTTCCTTCCCTCTGTCCCCTGCTGGGGATATCCCACTCTGTTGTGAAAAAAAAAACAAAAAACAAAAAACAAAAACTTAAGTTTCAGGGGAGGCGGTGCGACAGCGCCACCCCTTGGTGGGCGAAACTACTGTTAAAAGCCAACTATTTGAAAAATAATTGTGAAATGACAGTAATTAGGCATGTGGTCCCAACTCCCTCTGAGAGATTTTTCAAAAAATCTGAGAGATGAAACCTTTAAAATAAACAATTAGTTAATCTCTTAACTAGGATAGAAGAAACACGTTGTTTTCCAAACGAGCACAGAGTCATAATAGGCGATGTCCTTCTCATAACTTAAGGGACACCTTGCAGGGGTGGAGGTCGGAGTGTGACTTCTCTAGGCTGATGTAGCTGTTTTCCTCTTGGGACTTGGCTGCTCGGGGTACCTGGGGTCGGCTGAAGGAATGCTGTGGTGTGAGAAACCGTGGGGCGGAAAGTGCTGCAGTGTCCCCGGGGGCTGTGGTGGCGTGTGTCTCGGTGGTGGGAGCTCCGTGGACCGCAGGTAGCAGCGGTAGGCTGGGCTGCAGCCATGTGGGAGGCAAAGCCGTGGGGCGCGTGCCGGTTGCCTCCACTGCGCAACAAGTGGGGCCTCAGCGTCGCGCAAGGGCTCTGCACAGAGGCCCTGCTGGCCGGCTTCCCTTCGCTCCTTCCGACCCTCCCTGCTTCCCATTGCCAGACCAGTAGCATCCCCGAACATACTCGGTTCGGTTCCCCTTCCCTGCTTTGCTCAGTGGGTCAAGGTCTTAACTCCGGTTCCCCCATCCTGCTTATTCCCAACCTTTGCCTCGCGCTCTCTCTGTCTTTCTCGGTCTCTCTCGCTCTCCCTCCCTCTCCCTATCTTCTTTGCAAGAATTTCTCTAATACTTTAAGGTGTCGTTCTTTTTGAAAGCGAGCGTAGCCAATTTTGAGGAGGGGAGGTAGGGAACAAATAACCAAATAATACCCCCGAAAGCAGCTCCCGAAACGGTTCGGTGTTAGCTAAAGGCACGAGCACCGGAAGTACGGAGTTACATCTGCTCAACTAAATGTTTTTCGACTTCAGTTTTGGAAGCACCCACCCCCGCCCCCGCCCCAAGATTCAGACAAGAAAGAAAAAAGCCTCTGGTGAGGGGTACTGTGTGTGGAAGGCTATGCTAGCAGGGTGATTCTTGAACGGACTTAGTCTGCCACCTAGTGGTAGGTTGCGGTCTAGACGCCTGCTCGGAGTGGTGGTCTGACCCTGGTCAGATGCCAGGACTGACGGGGACAGCATTCTCCAATGCGGATGGCATTTGACTTCCAGAGTTTTGACAGGACAGATGAAAGCCATATGCTCACGCCGTCCACATCCACAATCGCTCAGCCTTAAATATCCATCTCAACTCAGGAGCGGTCCTGCGTTTGAGGACCTCTGTGGCCTCTCCACAGAGAAAGTTGGTAGCAGAAAGATGATACCCGAAACTCTTGGGAGCTTTAGGATTTAAACCTCGTCATTGCTGTTGTGGAATTAGGCCGAACAGTAAGTTTCTGAATTCCAAAGAATTCATCAAAGGAATTTATCCCAGTTCATGGGGGACAGTTTAACCTTAGGTCACTTGAGTTGCCAGAGCACATTGGAAACCGTTCCCTGCCGATCTTTAGCGTACGGTTTTTGACAATAGACGTGGAGAGATTACAGAGGTGCGGAGGGGTGGTGGGGCGTCTCTAATCTGTAACGCATGCTTGTACTGAGTTGGGTGGCCGGGGACTACTTAATGTAGTTTGGGGATATGCACCAGCTGTCTGCAAGCTTGACCTCCGGACTCTCTCTTTCCATCCGTTTATCTTTCAATTAGTGGCCTGGGTAGAAAGCAGGTGTGCGTGTGTGTGTGTGTGTGTGTGTGTGTGTGTGTGTGTGTGTGAGAGAGAGAGAGAGAGAGAGAGAGAGACAGAGAGACAGAGACAGAGACAGAGACACATAGACAGAGAGATGGAGTTTGTGAATAAATAGAGCACTATTCTTTGAGAATTTGTGCCTCATCTCTAGAGTAAAGTTTTTTCTCAAAGCTCTTAAGTGAGATGGTGCGCTTGCATTGACGCGCGGGCGCCCTCTAGCGGCGGCCTGCGTCCTCACCGCTGAGACACAGCTGTCTTCCCCCGCCCGGGCCGGGTGGAATCCAGTTCATCCTCTATCACTGCGGGAGTTGTCCCGGGCCGCCGCGCGGAGAAATGCGCCTCTGTTCGGGTTGGAAACGAATCTGGGGACGTGTCTGAAGCGCGGTCAAGTTTGACTCATCGCTTTCCAAGGACAGTTAGTGCCTTCCATCTTCATTAACGTGAATAAAGACCTTGGCTGACTTCTGTCTAGATCGAATTTTAAAAGGCATTGTTTGCTTGGGGAGATCATGCGTCTCTCTCCCGCCCCACAGTCCTCCCCCCCCTCCACCCTACCCCAAGGCCGATCCCAGTCCAGTCAGGATTGGAGAAGAGATCTCTACTGAAGGACATGGTTTGCTGGCATTGTCTGCAGGCTTCTGAAGGCTGTCTCAGCCAGGCTCTCAGGGAGCTCCGTCTCTTCAGATCTTGATAAAACACATCCCTTTATTTTATTATTTCCTCGAAGTTTGCGGTCTTACAAGAGTTCTGTTACAGGACATGTAACAGAAATGAAAAGTCAGGACAGAAAGTCTTCTGGTTAGCTCATGCAGCTGAGGAGGCCGTCGCACGAGCAACATCTCTTCTGATTTTTAGTGTCACCGCCACCCAGAGGCAAGAAGAGCACCAACATTGCGCTTCCCTGACTCCAGAACAGAAGCGACACTTTGAGTCTACCCATTGTCGCCAGAACAGGGTGACTAGACCTGAGCGCCCTGTTAGGAAAGAGCTCTCCTGCTGGAGCCCAGAGGCAGGTTTCAACGCGCCAGCCCCCAACCCCCACCCTGCCTTAGTCAAACTCCTTTAGGATCGTCTTTAGATTCTTCGGCGAGCTATTGGAGTTATTAGATTACCAATAATCTAACAACTGCCCTGGATAGAGAGGAGTGGAAAGGCGTTCTCCAAATCCAGACGCTGGCCAAACTAGGTCAATGCGAAGGAGGGGCGGGGCGAGCAGCCCGCTGTAGTTTCGAGCCTTGATGGACGGCTCTCTCTAGCGTCAGGCCGAGGTAAATGCACCATTGTGATGGCACTCCTCGGATAGTCACTGCTGTCCCAAATAAAATTCCCTTTGTCGCCCTTAGCCGAGGGCGAAGGACGAGGAAAACTCAAAACAGGCCCTTAAGACCAGAGAGAGCCCAACTTGGGGTGCGAGCCTGGCCCCGCCTCCGCCACCGAAAGGCTGTGCGGTGCAGAGGTGCAACCCGCTACTTGAAGGACTGTGACCGAGGTTGTGCAGATTCCGCCCCGAAGAAGCAAGGCGACCTAGAGCACTTAGTGGGTGGCCACGGGGGCGGGGGTGGTCCATTCCTGGGAAGGCGAGGCGACGCTGCCGTGTATCAGAGTTGGCACTACAGTCTCTACGGTTTCAGGAAAATAAAATTCTGAAATCCCAGAGCCTGTCTGGCTTCAGTCTGGTAGTTCTTGCTCTAAAGAGGCTGGGCGGAAACCTCCCCTTTCTTGCCAACGTAGGCGGAAGGGGTTTCAGCTCAGTTTTCTTTCTGGGTTAGTTTTCTCCCCATTCGGCCAGCTCTCGAAGGGTGGGGACCCTTAGTCCCAGGGACTCCATCTTTTTGACCTTGGCTTCTTACCTACACTTTCCCTTCTAAAGCAGGGTAAGAGGTAGCAAACAAGAAGACCAAAAGAAACCCCAAGAAATAACATCAAAACCCTAAGACAAAAAACAACAAAACAAAAGCAAACAAACACCAGCTGAGTCCGTTGCTAGTTGCCAGAATGGGGCAAATTGGAAATCATGAAGCGAGGCTCAGACTGTCTCCAGACTCTTGGGCTCCACACTGCGTCTTTTAGCTTTCTGGGGACAGGGATGGGGACCAGGTGGACTCGGGCCTGGAAGCCGGAACCCGTGTGGACGCGGGATTTAGGGGAAAGGGTGCTCTGTCCCCCGGCCAGCGCTACGCAGCCAGCAAACTCGGACTGGGCTGTCGAGCCGCGGCTTCCTGGAAAGTTACTTCTCCTTGGAGCCGCGCTGGGCAGGAGTGTTCTATGAAATCCTCAGAGCTGAGGTCGACTACGTTCCGGGAATGAGAGGGCTGTGCCATTCCCCTCGTGGCCCCCTGCTTTGACAGAGTAACAGGAAAAAAAAAAAAAAAGAAAGAAAGAAAAAAGACGCGCACAATGCTAGCTACCGACGTGCACGAAAATATTTATTTGAATGTAACCAAATTAAGGGTCGTTACAGTCCTACCACCCGGCCCTGGCCGCACCTTCCCGGGCTTCGAAGTGGATGGGCAGCGGTGCCACCCGATCGCCAGGGGGTGGGCGGTCCCAGGAAGACAGGTACAGCTAGGTGCGGTGAGCGTGTCTGCGCAGGCTTGCCAGGTGGCGGGGCTGGGGTTTGTGTCCTTGCGTGTGAGCAGGCGAGTGAGGCTGCCTAGTGCCACCCCTGCCCAGAAGGGAAGAGAAAGGAGTACTTGGAGCTCTCTCTCTCTCTCTCTCTCTCTCTCTCTCTCTCTCTCTCTCTCTCTCTCTCTCTCTCTCTCTCTCTCTCTCTCTCTCTCTCTCTCTCTCTCTCTCTCTCTCTCTCTCTCCTTTTCTCCCCAGTTCTTTGCCTGCTTTTTTCCTCTCTCCTCTCCCCCCTTTCTCCTCTTCCCCCTTTCTCCTCCCACTGCAAGCTCCTTAGTGAACCACTTTATTGAATGCACACTAGGAAAGTGCCCAGGGAGGGAAAGGATCAAGGTGGGGATTACTTCAGCTGGATCTAGTTGTGACTCGGTTCCCCTTGCTGGCCTGATTCTCCTTGGTGTTGTTTGCATAGAACATTGCTGGACAATGGTTTTGAGTTTGGGGCAGGCACTTGTTCTTCGAGCCTCAGTTTCCTTCCTAGTGAAGGAAAGATAAGGTACAATGGTTTGTGGGAAAGGCCTGAGTGATTTGTAAAACAAACAAGCTGAATGCTGGGCCAGTGTCTGGAGGGTGGCTGGAGGGCGGCGGCGTTCGGCTGCTGCGTTAGCCCCTACCTTGGGGAGTTGTGATGAGACCTGCTGAGAACAGCTGACTTCCAGAGACTTGCATCTGTGTTGAGGAGAGACTCCATGGAGCACGGGCTACTCTTGTGCTTTGTAGAAGGAGACAGGCTGAAAGTAAAAAGCCCAAGGCCAGCCTGACAGCGGACACAGCAGGGCTGCCTTTTTTGTTTGCTTCGGTAGGTCCTCTCATCTGGAGTGAGTCATTGCCACTTGTCATGGTGAAATGGCAAATCTGGGCTTCCTGCGGTTCCAAAAGTCTGTGACTGGAATCCACAAGTGAGCTGGTGGTTGATGCTCAGCCCACGTATTCCAGCAGGGTTTGTGGATCTCTTCCATGGGGGAGCAGGAGAAAGTTAGTAAATAAACTTCACGTGTCCGCAGCATCTATTTCCAAAAGAGGCAGTTCGTTGAACTTGGATGAGGATCAAGTGGAATCTGTGTACTCTTTTGGAGTTAGGATGGGTTCAGGAAGAAATGGGTTCTTTTGCCTTTGTCTCTCTTCCCCCATTGCCTACCCCAGACCCACTCACTCACACGCACATATTAACCTTGAAGCCGATGAGAATGCTGGCAGGCACTTGGTACCACAGAGAAATATGAGTGGCTCCGGGCCCCAGGAAACCTACATTTAGAGCACTCCTTTGGTCAGACTCAGCTCTTCGGAATGGGGCAGAGCATGTGTGGGGAAAGGAGCGTAAAACCGAGAGGTTCACCCACCTCAGTGTGCTGCTGCCCTGCGTGCTCTCTAGCACGTAGGCTGACTTGGAAAGAGGACAGGAATCTGAGCCAGAAGACCTAGGGCCAGGCCATCAACTATCTACGTGGCCCAACATGACCTCGCTGGCCTTAGGCTCCTTCACCCGGAAAGCCGCTCTGGAGGGCCGTGCTATTTGAATGGGAGAACAGAGTTCCAATAGATGATCGCTCTGCTTTGCCCATGTCGGATCAGAAAGGAGAGGCTTGCACCTATGCTCGCCATGATTTTTGTGGGATCGCCATGATTTTTGAGTTAGAGAAACCAATTGAGAGAGAGTACATGCTTCATTAGATCTCTTTAAGGCTCCCTGGCCAGTTCTTGGCTAAACCACACAGTTAAATCTTTCAGCGGTCAGGAGAAGCCCGAACTTGGAAGCTATGGTCAGTCCTCTGTCTAGTTTTAGACCTGGAAGCAGAGGGAGGGGAAACTTTGAAAAAGAGGGCAAAGATACTGAAGGAATGCACAAACACAATGTCTCCGGTTTTATTCTGTAGTCTCGGTATTCGCTCTTAAGTGTTCCAGAGAGTCAGGAGACACTGCCTGGCTGTTTGTGCTCAATAAGTCATTTGAACCCTGGGTCTCAGTTTCATCACCAGTGAAATAAGGATAAAGATATTGGCCCTATCAGCCTTGTGGAATCATTCTAAGACTTGAAAGATAATATTTTTAGCAAGGGTTTGAATAGCATCCAGTGTTTTTAGGTCCCTGAAGAATCATTGTCATTAATAATCATTGAAAGAACTACTTTTTTTTGTTTCCCATTAACTCAAATGGCCTTTTGAGATATATATATATATATATATATACATATATATATATATACTGTGAAAGGAAATGAATGTATAGAGGTATATGTAATTAATGTATGCAGTGGTATTCCCAGCACTAAGGATAAGGCATTGTTACCAAATGGCTTTGAGTGCCTGTTGTTTCTATAAGCACAGAGATGGAATATGTTTGCTAGCTTGTGGGAAAACCGCACCAGCTGGCAGGCTGCAGCTATCAAAGCAAAGCTAACTATGTGTGTCCTAAAATAAGACCGGAGTGGACAATCTTACACTCATTTAGTCAATCTCTGTTTGCTCTCTTCTTTGCAGTTTTAAAGCAAAATTTTGGACTGTGAAGCAAGGCATTGGGTGAGTAAATCGAATTATATGCTATAAGATTTTTAGATGAATTATTTCCCCCGAACGGTTTTTCTAAAGCTTGCCACCTTTCACTCAGTGAGCAAAGGATAATGAATTCTCTCCATACAGATCTCAGTCATCACCCCTCTGCCCCTGTACCAAGAGACTTAATGGCATTATTCATTCATCTCCTCATTCGTTCTCAGTTCAGGCTAACCGGGTCACCTACTCTGCCACTGTGCTAGTGTTAAGTATTCACACTCCTGAACAAAACAACTCACAATCCCAGAGCATGGAGTGGATAATGAAATGATATACCGATAAAAATAGCCGCACCTTTTTTTAAAAAAAAAGAACCTATTATGGTCTAGGCACATATTTCTAATTTTAAATACCACATAGGTATTGCTGTTCCTATTTTGGAGAACCAAAGCCCAGAAACAGTACCGGCACGCTCCAAGTCACAGAGCTGGTGACAGGCAAGGCGAGCTGGGTAACTCTCCAAGAGTGGTTTTCTCCATTGCAACATACTTGCTGCCTCTCAATGCTTGGCAGAGTCTTTAGTATGTGGGAAAAACACTTAACAAACAGTCCTTCCCTTCCCCTTTCCCCTAAAGAGCTTTCTACCCTAGCTTTTCTTGTCCCCAGTTGATAGCTATGAATAGTAATGTCCAGAGATGGGCTATGAATTGTCCATTAGACGACTGAGTTGCATTCTGTACCTTAACACACTAAGCCATCTGTTTGGTACTCTTGGTAAGCAGGGGGTTCTTGGGGACTAATAGGAGTTTAACTTCTGTTCAGACGAAGACAACATGGCCTCGCCGGCTGACAGCTGTATCCAGTTCACCCGCCATGCCAGTGATGTTCTTCTTAATCTTAATCGCCTCCGGAGTCGGGACATCTTGACTGACGTTGTCATTGTGGTTAGCCGTGAGCAGTTCAGAGCCCATAAGACAGTGCTCATGGCCTGCAGGTGAGTGGTCTTCGAGTGAGGGGTGACTGTATGAAGGGGGAGCTAGGGTTGGCAGCCGGTGAGATGAATATGTTGGCTGTTCCCTGTGTCTGAGACGACAGTCCCTTAGTTTACGGATCTCAGCACATGGCCTGGTGCTTTGGAATCTAGGGAAACAATTGAAGGAATATCATTAGAAAATAGTTTCTGTTTTGAAGGCGTAGTGAGTGAAGAAATGTACACTCAAAGACACGATGTGTCTGAGGTCAGCAGGGAGGCACACGCTGGTTAACTAAAAGAAATTCAGTTAACCAGTATGAGGATGAAAAGCAAAGGGACTTTCTAGTTTAACCAAGCTTTTGCCCATTTATGCCATAACTGTACTTTATTTAAAAATTTATTTTTTGAAACACGGTTTAATATGGAGCTAGCTTTGAACACATTACCTAGCTAATTTAATATGGAGCTAGCTTTGAACACATTACCTAGCTAAAGCTGGCCTTGAAATTCTGATTCTCTCACCCCAAGTGCTGGAATTATAGGTATGAACCACTACGCCAAGATTACAGTACTTCATTTATACTGTAACTATACGCCATGGTTTAAGCATAGAGTAAGCCAGCTAATTCTTCATATTTTCCTGAATTTCAAGTTTCCCAGGTGACATCATATTAAGTCGTTTCTAAGCTTTTCTACCAACTGTGTGTCGTGGATGGACTCTGTCTCCATTTTGTAGGTGATGAAAGCAAGGCACAGGTCTATGTAGTGATGCGTGGCTCTGTATTGCAATTAGAGAACATAGCCAGTGTCTAATAATAGCACTTAAATAATAGCCAGTGTCTAATAATAGCACTTAAAAATAATGTGAAGGGCTGGCTGGTGAGACGACTCAGTGGGTAAAGGCACCTGCTGCCAAGCCTGATGACCTGAATTCAACCCCAGGGGGACCAAGTGGTGGAAGGAGACGAGTGACTCTCACACATTGTCCTCAGACCTTCACTCTGTGGCCACGGCGCGCGCACACACACACACACTAAATAAAAATTAAAATACAAAGATCAGAATTTATATAGATATAAAATAATAGCTAGTGTTTAGTACTTACTGTGTGTCAAGCATCAGTGTATACCACTAACATTTTTGATTCTTGCCACAACCCTATCAAGCACACACGATGCTCTCCTTACTTGACAGATTAGCAAACCAAGGTACAGATAAGTTAAAGATATTAGGCAAGGTTGAAGAGTTGCTTATTGGGAAGGGATGTCTGACTCATTTCTGGTAGCCCACCCAGAAAGAGTAGAGTTGAGATGACAATCTAGTCTAGAATCCTAGTTTTAACTATAGACAACATGACCTGAAGGCATGGCTTGGGGTTTGACTGGAATCTCCTAGGAATAACTGACATTCTCATAATCCTTGGGTTTTGAGAAAGCTGGTGGAATATGGATATATCATTATTTGTTACCCATCCCTAACTAGCTCCTTATGCAATAGACTTTTAAAATGAGGGTATTGTGGTAAAGCAAGGAAAATACTTGTATGCAACATACTGTAAGAATAGTGACTGCTGGTGATGGCTAAGTTAGACAAAGGGAAAGCAGTGCTGTAATTCTGAGACTATCTCCCACTCTGCTATCTCGATTTCCCCATTTGTAAAGGTGGAATGGTGGTACGTGTCTTGCAGGATTAGGGAGAACATAGGTTTTGCGTGAGCATGGAAAGTGCTCAAAAAATTCCTGGCATCTGCTAGGCTTTCCACAAGAAGTAAGTGCCATGGAGCTCAGGGACCTGTGCTCTGGGAAGGCAAGACCCACAGATGCTCTGTGACCACTGCACTGGCCCCTCTGCTTGTTTTGCAGTGGCCTGTTCTACAGCATCTTCACTGACCAGCTGAAATGCAACCTTAATGTAATCAACCTGGATCCTGAGATCAACCCTGAGGGGTTTTGCATCCTCTTGGACTTCATGTACACATCTAGGCTCAACCTACGGGAAGGCAACATCATGGCTGTTATGGCTACAGCCATGTACCTGCAGATGGAGCATGTTGTGGACACATGCAGGAAGTTCATCAAGGCCAGGTGAGCTGCCTCCCGGTAAAAGGTGTGGATACAGAAAGGGTAGTTCCAGATCAGCAATCATGCTTGTTATGACAGCCTCTGGGACACATCACACCCACCTTTCTACAATGATCGCGCATGTCTACCTTTTATTCATGTACTCTAGGCAGATGTCATTCCTTGCAGCAGCCCAGATGTGTATGCTGTGGGTACTCCCGCCCCCCACCTCTGCCCCATTTTCTTTTAGTCTCTTTCCTTCCACTCACCCTGTCTTTCCCACGAAGGTTTTTCTGACTTCCTCAGCTTATCTGTGTTTGCCAGTCAGCGTTTTGCTTTTCCTTTTGACCTTCTCTTAACATCTGAATGCATATGCTAGTTCTCCTTTGGATTCCTATTATAACTATTTATACATATACCTTAGTTCCCTACCGGAGCATTGGCCGCTTGAGTTTACCCGGCTGCATTGAGCTCACTTGGTCTCACCCTTACCCAAGGGGTAAGAGACATGAACATCACCAGCGAGCAAGGATCCTGAGAGCCTTGACAAATGGAGGAGCGATTTGAAGCTAAACCGCTCCGGATCACGATTCGGCAGCTTTGGGGAAGCCGCCTTTTCTCTTCACAGAAGGGGTTTCCAGTCTGCTTCTGACCACTTCTAAGCATAAGAGCTCATGTTCTCAGAGCCATACCATCTACCTTGGGTAGTTGGAAAGTCCCTCTTTATGGCCTCTTAAAATCTGGGTCCAGTAGCCCTCAGTTTCTAGCTCTGTTAGTGGAGATTGTGTTGAGCTGCCCTACTTTTTTCACCCACATAAGTGCCTTTAAGTATTTGCAGCCAGTGTTTTTGTCTCCAGTGGGTGATAATGGCGGCGAGTTCATCATTGGCGTCATTTGGGAGTACTTTATTACAGGCCAGGCCTTGCGCTCCGAATGGCTAAGCAACTTGCTCCAGGTCAGAGCTGGGTTTGCAAAGCAGGCTAGGCTGCTCTGGAACCAGGGCTTTTGTACCGGTCACTGCCTCCGTGAACTTCCCAGCAAGTCTGTTGAGCATATGGTCTTTTAGTTGACATGCTCTGAATATATAGCACCATCATTGCAAACATTCTTCCCTCCTTGTTTCCATGTGTATAAAGTGCCTGCTTTTCCTTGCATGATTTTGCTTGACCAACTTATCTCATTGCTTGAAATGAGATAAGGACTTTAAAAGCTTTGTGTCACCCATAACATTCTAAATCATATGTGCCTCTGGTTTACAAGGTCATGCCCAGTCAGACACAGAGTATATGAGTAGCTCATCTTCCTCGGTTTCCCCAACTATAGCCCATATTGCTAGACTTGTGAGTATAAATGCCCTATAATTGTGTTACCCTACCCCAGAGTCACATCTCCCGTGTCTAGCTGACTCAAGCATAGATATGGTTATATAACAGTGTCAATGGAAGGTCACCTGTTTAACAGTTCTAATTTTGGGTCTTTTTTAAAATCCCCACAGTGAAGCAGAAATGGTCTCTGCACTTAAACCACCCCGAGAAGAGTTCCTGAACAGCCGGATGCTGATGCCCCACGACATCATGGCCTATAGAGGTCGTGAGGTTGTAGAGAACAACCTGCCGCTGAGAAATACTCCTGCGTGTGAGAGCAGAGCCTTTGCCCCTAGCCTGTACAGTGGCCTGTCAACACCACCGGCCTCATATCCTATGTACAGCCATCTCCCACTCAGTAGCTTCCTTTTCGCTGATGAGGAGCCGCGAGATGCCCATGCCCGCATGCCTGTGGCCAACCCTTTTCCCAAGGAACGGACCCTCTCCTGTGACAGTGCCAGGCCAGTCCCCAGTGAGTACAGCAGGCCAGCCATGGAGGTGTCCCTCAGCTTGTGCCACAGCAATATCTACTCACCCAAGGAGGCGGTCCCAGAGGAGGCACGGAGTGACATGCACTACAGTGTGGCTGAGGGCCCCAAGCCTGCTGCCCCTTCTGCCCGAAATGCCTCATACTTCCCCTGTGACAAAGCTAGCAAAGAAGAGAGACCGTCTTCAGAGGATGAAATCACCCTGCATTTCGAGCCCCCCAATGCACCCTTGAACCGGAAGGGTCTGGTTAGTCCCCAGAGTCCCCAGAAATCCGACTGCCAGCCCAACTCACCCACAGAGTCCTGCAGTAGCAAGAACGCCTGCATCCTTCAGGCCTCTGGCTCCCCACCAGCCAAGAGCCCCACTGACCCGAAAGCCTGTAACTGGAAGAAGTATAAGTTCATTGTGCTCAACAGCCTCAACCAGAATGCCAAACCAGAGGGCTCGGAGCAGACAGAGCTGGGCCGCCTCTCCCCTCGCGCCTACCCTGTCCAGCCTGCCGGCCAGCCACCTCTAGAGCCTGAGAACCTTGGTCTCCAGATCCCACCCAAGCTCAGTGCCAGTGGGGAGGACTCCACCATCCCCCAAGCCAGCCGGCTCAATAACATCGTTAACAGGTGATTTCAGAGGCCACATGTGTCTAAGGTCAGGGGTTACGTGAGCGCAGTTCTGAGGTTCACAGCCTCTGATGAATGCAGAATGCAGAACTGTTGTGTTTCCTGTCTGAAGTGCTGAGGGGGGTGGGTAAGTACCAGAGTGAGTTAGCCTGAGTCAGGAAGCATATTACATGGGAAGTTGTATTTTTGTTTCATTTTGTTTTGTTTTCCATAGCAAGAGAGAGCATTCCCTTGTGTGGGAGAAAAGCTTCCCACAAATCCCAAAGGCACTTCCTGTGGTCTTGATGGGTCAGGGAACCCCTCTCTTAGACTGAAAGAGGCTATGGGCTGCAGGCCTGAGCAGAGGCGGCTGGGCCTAGAAGTGGGAGTTGGGCACTGGCTGACTCCAGCCAGTAGAAGAGGGCTTGAGGAGGAGGGCTCAGGACCTGAGAACTGCAGAGGGCTCAGGGGGCTCAGCGCTTGTCTGAGCATGAGGAGAGGGGTTAGCTTGGAGACCGTGTGGGCCACCCTTCAAGGCTGGGTGCTGACACCCCCTTTTGTTCCTGCCCACAGGTCCCTGACAGGCTCCCCCCGGAGCAGCAGTGAGAGTCACTCGCCACTTTACATGCACCCCCCAAAGTGCACGTCCTGTGACTCTCAGTCCCCACAGCATACAGAGATGTGCCTCCACACTGCTGGCCCCACGTTCCCCGAGGAGATGGGAGAGACCCAGTCAGAGTACTCGGACTCTAGCTGTGGTGAGTCCCTTTCTTTCCCTTCCTCTAGATGCCTAGGAGAAGGGAGGCCCCTCTGTTCTGGAGGGGCGGGGAGGAGATGTATTTCCATTTTATTTGTGCTGCTGTCTCTGGTACACGGCCTGGATTAGAAGTCCACTGGTACTCACCATCGCCGACACTGGTCACTCTCCCTCCCTCTCCGTCTGCCTGGACTGGCTAATCCAGGCAAGCTATCAGGTGTAGGCGTTGAGCTTGGGTAACTGCAGTGGCGGAGCCACCTTCAGCTTCACGCCAGCACAGGTGGCCTGCAGGGCTGCTGGAACCCTCAGAGTTTTCTCAGTCTGTGTCAAAGCTACTGTACCAACCTGGGTGTGTGGTAGTGTTTCTTGGATGGCTGTGGAGAAACATCTGGCCTTAGTCTTTCATGTTTCTTCCTCAGGGCTTTGTTGGTTCCTAGCTTGAAGGAGGTCTTAGAAAATGTTTGCCGAATTAAGTTAGTTGAACTTAATTATTAAATTAACCTTTCCATATAGTCAGTGTTGGCTCCCTTAGTTTTTAACCTGGTAAAAAGTCTCACTCTTTACCTAGCAACGATCTTTTGTGACCAAGACAATACATAGTCAGGGTGAAATTGCAGTGATATACCATTCTCAAACTGTTGTGACAAAATAAAGAAGTTGCAGACTGTGAGCAGTTTGACACAGGGTAGAATCAGAGGTAGAATAGTGACTGTCCCTCCTGACCTCAGATGACTGACCTGCACTCCAGTTCCTGCCTCTGGACCTCTGTTTCCATTTCCATCCTCTTTAGTGTCCTGTCTTTGGTGCAAAGATGACCACAGAGTCTTCATCATTAATCCCTCCTGTAGGGACTTAAAGAGTAATTGGATCAGATCGGTGTCTCATGTCCCCATAATATGTCATCTTTTCTTTTTCATTGTATAATGTGCTCCTGTGAGTAGACAGGACAGGGCTTATTAGTCTGACTTTGGAGACAGAGACTCAGAGAGGCGTAGAGACCTAACGTGTCTTGCTCCAGGGCTGCTGTGTGTTAGTAGACGTTGAACCTTGAACTGATAAGAAAGCCTCTCAGAGCTCCAGGAGGAAAAAAAATGCTAAGGTGTCCTCAAATCGGTGAGGCCATATGAGATCCTTAGAGTGAGTGTCTGGACTTTGAGATTCAATTAGTCTCCTCTCTCTGTCTTCCCACTGGTCCTATGGGTTTCCAGAGTGTTGGTTAGGGAGCCTGGGGTCCAGTATAGCACTGGCATGGATGGTTCCAGCAGAGGGAGGCCTCTGAGCTTTGCCCTGCCTCCTAATGATGACGTGGTGTCCCTTCACGCTCTGCAGAGAATGGGGCCTTCTTCTGCAACGAATGTGACTGTCGCTTCTCTGAGGAGGCCTCACTCAAGAGGCACACACTGCAGACGCACAGCGACAAACCCTACAAGTGTGACCGCTGCCAGGCCTCCTTCCGCTACAAAGGCAACCTCGCCAGCCACAAGACCGTCCACACAGGTATGGCCTTGTCCCACACCGACTGCTCCAGTTAGAGGCTACAGACGAAACTGGGGACTTTGTTGGAATGAAGCCGGAGGCGGGCCCCACCCTGGCTTCACCTAAGCTGGTAGCTTTCAACCTATGGGTTGTGACCCCCTTGGGAGTTGAATGGCCCTTTTACAGGGTCGAATATTAGATACCCTGCATATCAGATATTCACACTATGATTCATAATGGTAGCAACATTACAGTTATGAAGCAGGAACAAAACTAATTTTAGGGTTGGGGCTCACTATACCATGAGGAATTATATTAAAGGGTCACAGCGTTAGGAAGGTTGAGAATCACTGAACTGGGGACTGAACTCTGTCTTGTCTCTGCCACTCTGCCTATTCTTTGTGTTTCCTTTGAGAGTTTGTCCTACTTCTCTGCCTTTGCTGGGGTTAGAAGTTTTAATCCCCCCCCCCTTGAGTGAGGAGACTAATGCTGATAGAGGCAAAGTGGATTGGGTTTGACTAAAGCCAGCTAAAATCAAAAAATCAAAAGCCACTTGATGCCCCTCAACGACTTACCAACCAACTTACATTCTTTTTCCCGGGACACTTCTCGCAACCTCATGGTTGTGGGCATTAACTAGTTCTCAGACCTTTCAGTGGCCCCATTATCCACGAAACTTTCCATGGTGGAAGGTTCAGCCATAGATTGGTTTCCTCTGCCCAGCTTCTGCTCAGCCCCACACCCCGCCTTGCTTGCAAATGGAATACAGCTGTAGTTGCAACAAGCGGAAAAGTATGTTCTGAGGGAGAAACTAGAGCAGCCTGATTGTATCTCCCTGGTGAGTGAGTGGATTATCGCATCGGTCCGTCCAAGGGAAGAGCCTGAAGTCTTCCCAGGTTGTCTACATCAGCCCTTCCCATTCAGAGAGGGAAACTGAGGCCCAGAGTAGGACAGTGTGTTGCTCAAGGCCTACAGTCAGTCTGCCTGAAGGACAGCACTGGTTCTGCAGGTTGGGTTGCTTCAAACCTCCCCCACTGTGTCCTATGTATAGCATCGTTTCCACACCACTGTGTCACTGCCTGTTTCTTAGTCTTGTCCCCTGCTGTGTGGGGGGGATGGGTGAGCAAAGATGGCAGGCCCCTAGATCAGTGGTTCTTAACTGGCAAGTCTTGACCCCTTTGTGGGGTGGAACGACACTGTCACAGGGATCACCTAAGTCTATTGGAAAGCACAGACATCTGCATTACGATTCCTAATGCAGTTATGAAATAGCAACAAAAATATATGATGGGGGGGCCATTACAACATGAAGAACTGTGTTAAAGGGTCACAGCATTAGGAAGGTTGAGAACCACTGCCCTAGATTCTCTCTCTGACCTCCCTGTAGAGAAGGGAAGGCATAAGTGGCCTTGGACAGGAGTAGATGCCTTGAAATCAAGGGTCAGGGTTGACCTCCATTAAAATGATTCCTTTTTTTTCCATCTGTCTTGGCAATAGGTGAGAAGCCCTATCGCTGCAACATCTGTGGAGCGCAGTTCAATCGGCCAGCCAACCTGAAGACCCACACTCGAATTCACTCTGGAGAAAAGCCCTACAAATGTGAAACCTGTGGGGCCAGATTTGTGCAGGTGAGCAGGGCAGCATGGAGAAGGGACGCTGTGGGGGTGAAGGCCTGGGCACAGGTTGGCAGTACTCCCTGGCAGCACCCCTCACGCCGTGCTCCTCCTCTAGGTGGCCCACCTCCGCGCCCATGTGCTCATCCACACTGGAGAGAAGCCATATCCCTGTGAAATCTGTGGCACCCGCTTCAGGCACCTTCAGACTCTAAAGAGCCACCTGCGCATCCACACAGGAGAGAAACCTTACCATGTATGTAAATCCTGCGGCTGCTGCCTGGCCTGGGAGGGAGGGAGGCAGGGAGGGAAGGAGGTAGCAAGGGAAGGAGGGAGGGAGGTGGAGCAGGTGAGCAGTGGAGCTATTTGCTCGCACACTAGCACACAGTGGACTAATAACGTTCAGGAGATCTAGATCTGAACCTGATGGTCAAAGTCATTCCGGGTCTCAGTGTGTTCATCTTTAAATGGTCTGGGTGACCTGGGCCTTAGGAAAGGAGACATAGAATCGGGCCATTCATTCATTCCACAAGTACCTGCGGAGAGTCTCCATTACACGCATGCCTAGAGTGTCTAAGATGTCAGAGAAGAGAAACATGGCAAAGATAAACAGCAAAACCAGAACCAAAAATAAACCTAGGAAACATCGTTTCAAGAAATAGCAGGCTGGCACTAGAGGGTGGTTCAGCAGTTAAGAGCTCTCGCTGCTGTTGTAGAAGATATGGGTTCAGTTCCCAGCACTCAAATTGGATGGGTCACAACCACCTATAATTCCAGTTCTGGGGGTTCATCGTCCTCTTCCAGTCTCCTTGGGTAACTGAATGAATTTGGTGCAGATCTATACACACACACACACACACACACACACACACACACACACACACATACACACACACAAAGAAATGAAATTCAAAAGAAAGAGCAGGTGCCTTCATGCTTAGTGCCACGTTAAGAACAGGATGTTGAATGGTTGTGTCCCAGGGCAAAGTCTCAGCAAACTACAGTCTGCTGGCTAAGTTTTGAATGTTGTGGAAGGTAAAACTTTGACATAGTGAGTTGTGTGAAATTTAGCTTTCATAGGACATCAATAACATATCATTGGAATGCAGCCACACTTACTTATTTACATGATGTATGGGCTTTGCAGGATCAGTGGCTTCCTTCAGGTGCTGCTGGGCTAATCAGTGAATGATTCACACACACTCGCATGGTGATTGGCAAAGTGTGGCCATGTTTGTTCACTCGCCTCTAAGGCTTTGAATGAGTATCTTTGTACTTGCTATTTGTCTCTTGGCAAATTAGTTATTTTCATCCTTAGTGCCTCAGTTTCCTCATCTTTACACTGATCCAAAAAATAGTGCCTACTTCATGAACTGGCTATATTTAGGTACCTAATTCATTCAGTGCTTGGAGTTGTTCAAGCTCACAGCTATGGTGTGATCTGCTAGGATTTCAGTCACAGATGCAATAAGAATTGAAAGTGTAGCCGGGTGGTGGTGGTGTCGGCAGCGCACGCCTTGGATACCAGCACTCAGGAGGCAGAGGCAGGCGGATCTCTGTGAGTTTGAGGTCAACAAAGCTACACAGAGAAACCCTGTCTCGAAAAATCAAAAAGAAAGAAAGAAAAAAGGAAAAGAAAATTGAAAGTGACATTTGGCATTGATTGATCCAAATCCCTTACAGAAGGGAAAGCCAAGATCTTTATAGACTATATGGTATGGTCAGGGTCCACAGAAGTGGGTGGCATAGTTGCAGTGGACCTATATCATTTGAAAAAGGGAAAAACAAACAAACAAAAAACAAAACAAAATCTCCCAGACTCAAGAATCTCCAAGAATTTAGGCCACCCAACTGTGCTGTTGCATTCAGACTGATGTCACAGTTTTCTGAGGGTGCATTCTGCTAGAATGTAGAAGATTACAAAGTTCGGATGAGAAGTAGTCACTTCAAAGTACTAGCCACCTGTTGAGGACATTAATACACCAGGATGATGGTGGGGCAAGGCTATAAATCTGAGATCTAAAAAGAGACAGATTATTTTTGTCTTAGATTCAGAAATCTAAATAGGGGGTTTGCATCAGAATGTGTCTTTTGGCTAAGACTTGCATTCATGCAGTTAAGTCAGGGAAGGGCATTGTAAGCCCGGGGAACATGAGTGGCACAGTTGGGAGGGAAGGCAGGGACAATAGTACAATGTATACTTCACCTCCAGTGGAAGCCAGGATTCAAATGGGAGGAGCTGCCTCCACCCCGCCCCCACAGAGACACCTCTGCTCTTGAGTCTTTGAAAAATGACCTGTTTCTTGAGTCGATAATGGCTAACACTTTGCTTCTTGGTGTCTCTCCAGTGTGAGAAGTGTAACCTACATTTTCGTCACAAAAGCCAACTGCGACTTCACTTGCGCCAGAAGCACGGCGCCATCACCAACACCAAGGTACAATACCGTGTGTCGGCCGCTGACCTGCCTCCGGAGCTTCCCAAAGCCTGCTGAAGCATGGAGTGTTGACTCTTTTCTCCCTAGCCCTTCCTCAGACCCTCCCCGAAGGATGCTGTAACACTTTACAAAGGTCATCCCATGACGTAGTGCCTCTCTCATCCACTAGTGCAAATCATAGTTGGGGTGGGGGTGGGGGGCGGGGTTTGCGGGACCGGGAGCCAAGCCAGCTCCCCTTCCCACACTGCCATAAGACATTAAGAAAATACTATTGCTTCTTCTCCTATGTGCAAGGCAAACCATGTCAGCAAAAAGCAAAATCATTTTCTATATCGTAGGGGAGAATGCAAAAGTTCTGATGTGACAGGTTGCAACATGAGGAATGTAAACCTTCTGTGGGAACAGAAATCTCTTTTGTATGTAAATGTGTATTGTTTTAAAAGACAAGACTTCAGGATGTTGTCAAAGAGAGGGCTTTAATTTTTTAACCAAAGGTGAAGGAATATATGGCAGAGTTGTAAATATATAAATATATATATAATATAAATATATAAACCTAAAAAGATATATTGAAAATATAAAACTGCGTTAAAGGCTCGATTTTGTATCTGCAGGCAGACACGGATCTGAGAATCTATTGAGAAAGAGCACTTAAGAGACTATTTTAAGTATTGCGTCTGTATAAGTAAGAAAATATTTTGTCTAAAATGCCTCAGTGTATTTGTATTTTTTTGCAAGTGAAGGTTTACAATTTACAAAGTGTGTATTAAAAACAAACAAACAAAAAGAACAAAAAAAGTTGCAGAAGGAGAAATGTATACTTTTGTTCCAGTTTTCAGTTTGTATATACCTGTAACGTGTCCTCACGGTGCCTTTTTTCACGGAAGTTTTCAATGATGGACGAGCGTGCGCCATCCCCTTTTGAAGTGTAGACAGACACAGGGACTTGAAGTTGTCACTAACTAAACTCTCTTTGGGAACGTTTGACTCCTCCCACATTCTGCGTCATGCTTGTTGTTATAATTACTCCGGAGACAGGGTTTGGCTGTGTCTAAACTGCATTATTGCGTTGTAAAATATAGCTGTACAAACATAAGAATAAAACGTTGAAAAGTCAAGAGAGATTCCTCTGTGGATTTATCTCTGCACGGAGATCCACGTGGGTTCAGTGTCCTGTGTTCATGTTCCAGTGGGAAATGCACTAGGGGAGGAGGGGCTGCTGGTCAGTGAGATGTTTGAAGAGGGGCGTTACTTGAGGTTAGACTGGGGTGTGTCCTGTTTCTGTCTATTTCTGTTCCGAGCACACGATCAGCTGCAGACCCCAGTCACTGGGCCTGAAGGTCAAAGTGGAGGATTTGAACGGACCCTTGCCCAGCTCCGGGCTGCGTTCTGCATTCCAGCCCTTGCTCCTTTAGACACAAACGTTTCGTAGTCCCTTCCACCGCTGAACTGAGCCTCAGTTGATTATTCTGTTCTAAAGTGAGAGGTCCTATCTTGGCTCTGGCTTCATAAACAAGTTCTCTTCACTTGGCTACCCCGGGGCAGGCCAAAGGCATCTGGCTGCAACCACACATTTCCCAGCCTTGGTGCTTTTGGTGTCTCCTGGGTGACCGACAGACCTGTGCCGACTTAGAAGCTTTTTGATTGGCCAAAGGCCAAGAAAGCCTCCGCCCCTGTGCTGGAGCTCCGCCCATCTTATGTGCATTGGGTCAGCATTTTTGCAGTAGGTCTCTGTCCCAGCTTATCTAAGAGGAGACCATTTCTGAATCCATGATTCAGATGTAGGTTAAAACACTGACCTGCGCTGGCCTCCACTTTTATTTTACCTCAGAAAACCCCAAGGACCAAGTTTGATTGACAGGATCTATGAACTGGGAAGACAAATGTGGTTCTGGTCATGGGCCCAGAAGAGAATGCCGGCATCCCCTTCCTGTTCCTGGGTGGCAGTGGAGAGGGGCCATGTGCCCACTGACCAGTTCTTGGCAGAGACTTTGCAGCAGGCACTGAGCACGTGTTGGGAAGGCGGAGGAGCTGACCACCCAAAGCCCCAGAGAGAGCTTCAGAAAGTCACGCCACCCTCTGCCAACCACGGCCTTGCGGCTCAGGTTTCCTTTGAAAATGACTTTAAAGGACTTGCCAGCTCCGGGCCTCAACTCACCCTGTTCTTTGAAAGGAGAGAAAATGATCCCTCCGCTCCCATAGAAACCTGGCAGAAGAACTTACAGAATAGACAGCCTCAGGAATGACAGTTCACAGGCCTGAGGGAGACTGGCCCTAGGCTCCTTCTGCTCCTGAGAGTCTGTTTTTGTATTATTACTATTTATGAGGGAGACTGAGGAGCAGACAGGGAGGGTGGTGTTCCGACAAAAGGGAGATCAAAGACAGAGCTACTACAGCCAGCTGATGATTAATAATAAGTAAAAAGAAAACATCTCTGAGCAGAGTAATTAAGGGTACAGCCCAGAGCAAGGGAAGCGAGAATTTTATTACAAAAGCATGGGGTGAATGCACTTTCACATTAAAAAACCAAAACGTTGTCTCAAAAACCAGGCTATGCTTGATAGTCTCCACATCATGGAAATTATTTGGGGCTAAGGTTTGTTAGGACTTCAAGTTGAGGCATGTGTTGAGGTAGGTGTATTAGCTTTTGCTCTAGTTTGCTTTCTGTTGCTATAGTAAAACACTGACCAAAAGCAATTTGGGGGAGGAAAGGGTTTATTGGGCTTACACATTCTGATCACACTCCACCACTGAAGGAAGTCAGGGCTGGAATGCAAGGCAGGAACCTAGAGGCAAAGCTGAAGCAGACCCTGGAGGAACACTGCTTACTGGCTTGTTCCCTAAGGCTTTCTCAGTTTGCTCTCTGATGCAACCCTGGCCCATCTCCCCCTCCCACATCAATCATAAATCACAAAATACTCCCAGAGACTGGTCTACAGGCCACTCTGAGGGCAGCATTTTCTCCATTGAGGTTCCTACTTCCCATATGATCCTAGCGAGAGTGGAGTTGACAACTGAGCAACACGGATTTCTGTCAGCTCTGGCAGAACCCTCAGTGCAGCGCAGAGGGGTTGACGTCTTTTAAACTCACAGCTTCAGATGTTTCTGTCCATTGTTCTTGGTTCTGCTAACTCTGGACCTGTGGTAAGACAGGATATCATGGTGGACAGGAAGCCAAGAGAGAGAAGGACAAGACTCTCCCAAGGGCGTGTTCCAAAGTGACCCATTTCCTCCAGCTAGGACTCAACTTCTAAAGTTTCTAGAACTTTCTAAAACAATGCCACCAGTTGAGGACAAGTCTTCTAAAACAATAGTTTTCGGAGGCATTGGGGACTTGACTGTATATCTAAATCACAGTAGTAGACTTATGGATGTGACTGAGTAGCCACAAACAGAGCTGTTCAGGGGCTGGAAGACACAGAGAGAACTTCTAGTTAAAGTATCTCTTCTGTCCCATGAGGTGTGTGAGGAATTCACATCTGCTGCTATCCAGTGACTGGGCAAGTGTGGGGACCAGGATCCTCCTTACCCCAGCCCCAGGATTTAGTTATGACAAAATGGCAGGTCCAAGGTCACACGACTAAGTGTCCAGCTTGCCTGACTTCCCACACCCAGCTATTTGTAGAACGTCAAGCTCAGTCAATGGTTAGAACGTAGGCATCTCGTTTTCATTTCTTTGTATCTCTCACAGCAGTAATTAATAAGAAATTGTCTCATATTTTCCCAGAGCTATGCTCAGGTAAACGTGAGGAGAAGTGCGGAGGAAAACCAGAAGGAGCTGACTCCTGGGCACTCGTCAGGCCACATCAATCGCAGAGCCCCAGAGCCAGGTACGCAGAAGAAGACAATCTTCCAGCACTGAGTTCTGCGGAGCATGCTATCATCTAGAGGTTCCATGGGACTCAATATCTCTTACAACTATCTATAATAGGGTAGCCATGTCCAGCACCTTCTCTTTACATGGGCCACTCTGTGTGCGTTCCTATTTCCTGGAATCAGAGCACAGTTTATGCCGGAGCCAGACTTCATATATATTTTATATTTAAAATATGTAAAAAGAGTCATTTACTAATCCTTGAAGTGGCAATAGGAAAAATATCTACAGTCAAACTATTAAATGAGATGACTGAAAATTGTTAAGTAGTAACACTGCTCCCCCTTTTGGCTGAAATCAAGTGTGAAGCTGTTAAGTAATGACACTTTTTCAGCGTTCCTTCAGAGGGAGCAAGTAAAAATACATTTATTCATAGGAACTTGACCATTTTGAATTACTGACTGAAAGGGACAATAACGGGGAGGGGTGTGCTGAGAGATGGCTCAGCAGAGAATGCTTTTGGCTCTTCCAGAAGACCTGAGTTCAATCCCCAGCATTCACATCAGGCAGCTCACAACTGTAGCTCCTGATCCAGGAGTAAAAAAAAAAAAAAAAAAAAAAAGAAAGAAAAAAGACAGAGAGAAAGAAAAAGAAAAAAATCAAAGATAATGTCAGACTTTGGAGAATCTTTTATAACACCAGAGTTACCAGTTTCACATTTAATTATGGTTCCACAATAAAAGGGTTGCTCAGTGCATACATTGTTTTTCACAGCAGGTCAGTAGAGTTGATAACTTGGTGACTTTTTATAAAGAATAAACACACTTTTTACCATAGCTTTCCCTCAGCTCATGTCCTTTGGAGCAAAATTCATTCCAGTATTAAACCAAATTTGTAACTGGTTATAATTTACAAAATAGTTACTGCTCTCTCTCTGTCTCTCTCTCTCTGTCTCTCTCTCTGTGTCTCTCTGTGTCTCTCTCTGTCTCTCTCTGTCTCTCTGTCTCTCTGTCTCTCTCTCTCTCTCTCTCTCTCTCCCCCCCCGCATGTGTATACATGTGTATACGCTCACAAGTGTGTGTAAACAACTTCCTTTATACCACACCAACGTAAAACAGCTCTGCACAGGAAGTAGGCAGTCAGCATACCAAGGAAACAACCTATAGAATGAGACAAATTATTTCCAAACACTACGGCCTGCACACATACACACACTACTAGTTAATACTTATAATAATTTTAAAATGGTATAGACATACACAGACATTTATCAGGGCATTTCTGTGGTCAAGAGAAACATGAAAAAAGTGTGTGGAGAAAGGGGAACTCTACACACTATTCTTGGCAATGTAAATTAGTATAGCCATTATGGAAAGCAGTGTGGAAGTTCCTCAAAAATTAGAAATACAACTATCAGATGATCCAGCAATCTGACTGCTGGGTATACACATCCAAAGGACACAGAATCATAGACTAGCACCCCATATTCACTGCAGTGTGAGCCACAGTAACCAAAAAGTGGGGATGACCTAGTATCATAAACATATGAATGGATAAAAACGTAGAGCATAAATGAAGGGATCTGTTATTTGCAGTGGAATGATTTCACTGTGAGAAGTGATACATAGTTGAGGGATATGCAGATCTGATTATTAGAATTCTATAGGGACCAAAGCACACATATACCCAATAACTGTAGAATTTTTGTATGCCAATTACACACAAAAGAAAATTACAATGCTGAAGAAAAGCCACAATAAAAAGGCAAAGACAGCCACATCGGGTTAATGCCTATGAATCTTAATGACCGTGTACTGATTAATATTGATTGTCAACTAGACAGGATTTAGACTCATCCAGGAGGCAAGCCTCAGGTATGTTTGTGAGAAAGTCCCTAGGTTTGGTTAATGGAGCTGGGAAGACCTACCCTAAATGTGATGGCACCATTCAATGAACTGTGGTCTGAGACTGAAAAAAAAATAACTGGAATGTAGCTCAGAGACAGAGCACTTACTTAGTATGAGTGAGGCCTGGGTTTGGTCCCTAGCAACAGCAACAATAACAGCAGCAGCAGCAACAACACACACACACACACACACACACACACACACACACACACACACACACACTGGAAAAAGGGAAAGGGCATCACCTTTCGTATATCCTGGTACGCTAACTGAGGTTACAACATGATTAGATACCCCATCCTCCCGCCACCATGCCATCCCCACCATTCTAGATTGCATTCCCTTGAACTGTAATCTGATATAAACTTTTGTTGGGCATTTGGTCACAGCAAAGAAA